CTAGGAAACATGTGGGTACAAGTACGAAACCTAAAAGTGTTGTACCCTATAATATTTACCCCACTACTGCCTAGATAGACTATAGCATATAAGTTTGACACACCCCCATAGGCAAAGTGGGGGGGAACAAGAGGTCACAAGACCAGTCAAGCAAAGCTCAACAAGCTCAGGGTGGATCACAAAGTCACCACACATTCCGAGCACAAGTTCAAGGCCACAAGGCCACTTCACATGCAAGATTATAAATAGAGGTGAGCAAGCAAGTGCAGGTATAGACAGATCATAGTACAAGCAAGCTCAAGAAGTGAGTAAGTGAGGCCAAGTAGGCACAAGTCCTAGCATCGTACAAAAGCGCTGATGATCACAAGGCTGACGTTCCTTGGTAAAGATATCAGCAGTGTTGGCCTCAGAGGCCACGTAAGCAAGGCGCAGCTGACCACGCTGCTGCAGCTCACGAGCAAGGAAGTAGCGAAGAGCAATGTGCTTCGTTTTGTGCTCCAGTCTGTGCTCCCGACACAAGGCCAGCACGGCCTTGTTGTCCACGTACAGAACTGGAGGAGAACGAGGCGGCTCTCCCAGGTCGGTCAGCAGGTCGTGAGCCATCGTAACTCCTATGCAGCCATGGCCCCTACGTAGATCTCGGCCTCACAGCTGGAGCCGAGAACAAAAGACGAGCAAGTAGTCCGCCACGAAATAGAGCCGGAACCAAGACTGAAGGTGTAACCCTGTGACGACCGCTGCGTAACCAATTCGTCAGCCCAAGAAGCGTTTGCGTGACCAGTCACGACCACTGAACTCCGCCCTCCAAGCACGAGCCCCATGCCCGACGTACTGCACAAGTAGTGCAACACCCTCTTTGCTGCAGCCATGTGCTCTGGTCGGTGTCTCCCAGGAGCAACATAGCGTGCGAAGATGCTAAGAGGGTATGCTAGGTCAGGTCGAGAGCAGGTCATCGGGTACATGAGGCAGCCAACAAGCTCTGGGTACGGGCCACTCGGCTCTACGGACTCATCCGAAGGCAGAGCTGAGAGCGAGTGGCGAGTAGACAAAGGAGTGGCCTGAGGCGATGAGTACGTGAAGTCGAAGCGCTGAAGGACGTGCTGCACCATGTGTGACTGAGTCAGGGTAATGGTGCGCTGTGCTCTGTCCCGGGTGATCTGCAAGCCAAGGTAGCTGCGCAGTTCACCCAAGTCTTTGCACGTGTGTCTCTTCCGCAGCTCAGACTTCACGTGGGCGAATCCAGTAGTGTCAGCAGTGGCAAAGACCAAGTCGTCGACGTACACGAGGATGTAGAACGGTGGTAAAGAGGTGTCGGTGCGCAGAAACAGCGACGGGTCGGCTGTAGAAGGAGCAAACCCAAGAGCCGCAAATGTAGTCCTCAGTGTGTCGTGCCACTCACGGGGCGCTTGGCGGAGACCGTAGACTGGCCGCCAGAGGCTCCACTGGGTATTAGGAGGAAACGACCCAGTGAAGCCAGGTGGGCGGCGCAGCCAGATCTCCTCGTGCAGGCTGTCCTGCAGGAAAGCTGTGCTCAAGTCAAGAGAGTGAAGCTCGTAGTCGCGCTGAGCGGCTATGTGCAGCAGCATCCGAAGAGTGGTCATCTTCGGGGTGGGAGAGAAGGACTGGAAATAGTCAACTCCCTGTTGCTGACTGAAGCCTCAAGCCACGTAACGCGCCTTGAAGACAGGTGGAGAACCAGGCGGCCGCTTCTCCCTGAAGATCCACATGCCACAAACGATGTTCGCCCCAGGTGGGGGAACCTCGTCAACGTAGGTGCCTGTGGACTTCCAGGAAGCCTTCTCTGCGTCCATGGCTGTCTGCCACTGAGAGGAGTAGGGACCCTCTATCGCCTCTGCGTAAGAGCGCGGGGTCGGGATGTCTGGTGCATCCGGGTCTCCCTCAGGGGCAAGCACCATGGACACGAGATGAGGTTAAGCAGTAGCAAAACACTAGAACTCCTCCTGCCTATCCTCAAGGACGTCCGTGCTAAGAGCACACTCACCCCCGATGGACAGAGGACAGATAGACTCAGACTCAGAAATATGACTAGCAGCGTAGTCTAGACGACAGTGAGCAGCAAACTCGACAAACTCAGCAACTAAGGTAGACGCAGCAGAGGACTCAAAGGTAGGGTAAGTGACAACAGTAGCCTGGAGACGCGTGACAGTAGGACTGGCAGCACGAAGGGAGTCAGAATCCGGATCAGCAAGAGCAGGAAGAGAGGACTCTCGAGGAGACGGCAAATGGACACGTAGTGGAGCAGTGGAAGGACGCAGTGCCATGTGGTGCGTGCCCGGGAGTGCAGGAGGACGCTGGCGTGGAACACGACGACTAGTGCGACCAGCATGAACAGGCAACGCAAGACAAGACTCATGCTCACGACGCTCAGCAAGACCTCCAGTATGACCAGTGTAGGGAGGAGGAGCAGGCAGTGGGGAGGCCAGCTGTAACTGTGACTCGGACTGGACAGGTGGTGGACATTCTAAGGAAGGAGCAGGACCAGTAGAAGGCGGGAGACCAAGAACCTGCTGAAGGAGCGGATCGAAGTATGGCCGTGGCCGCGCAGCGCCTCCAGAACCAGCAGGGACAGCACTAGCACCCACAACATCAGCACCAATGCCAGCAGCACCACCAGCTCCAGCAGCACCCCCAGTAGTTCCAGAAGTGCCAACTCCAGCACCCCTAGAAGCACCAGCTCCTGCAGCACCTCCAGCGCCAAGACCTCCAGCAGTGCCAGCTCTAGCAGGACCACCGGAAGAAGCAGCAGTACCAGCTCCAGTAGTACCTGCAGCAGCGCCTACGCCAGCAGCACCTCCAGCTCCAGCACCAGCAGCACCACCAGGCCCAGCAGCTCCAGTACCGCTGGTACGAGCACCTCCGGGACCCGTGGCTCCAGAACCTCCAGCAGCCGCAGAACCTCCAGCACCGGTAGCACCACCAGCTCCAGCATCACGACTCCAGCGGCAAGCAAACCACTCACGCAGCTCCTGGGGAGAGGGCAACTCCCGCCGGGACGAAGCACCCAAAGGACCTCGAGGCCCAGCACCCTCAGGCTCCGCACCCCCAGACTCAGCAACCCCAGGCTCAGCACCCCCAGACTCAACACCCCAAGACTCAAGACCCCCAGACTCAGCACCCCCAGGCTCCGCACGCTCAGCCTTAGCACCCCCAGACCCGGCACCTGCAGGCTCAACACCCCTAGCAGCACCAGAGTCAACAGCTACCTCGACAAGCTCGACTGCGTCTACCTGGAACACACCTGACGGGGCAAGACCCTGAGGGGGAAGGGGGTCTACCCAGGGGGGACCTGGCGGAAGGAAGGGCGGCGGGGGGGGGGGGAGGGGGGCAGCGAGGTAGGGGAGGAGACGGTAGTACGGAACCGACTCGTCAAACATGACAACCTGGGAGGACAGAACACGGCGCGAGGTGGGGTGGTAGAACTGCCAACCAGGCGCGTCAAGGGGGAAGCCAAGGAAGACGCATGGAACAGCACGAGAGGACAGCTTGTCCGAAGACAAGTCTCGGACGAAAGTCCGAGATCCCCAGACACGGAACGCAGACGCATCGCCAACCTTCCCCGTCCACCGCAGGGTGGGGGAGGTCTCCGGCAAGGAGACCCGGGGCTGAAGGTTGATCTGATGCGCCGCGTATTGAACCGCGAACGGCCACAGAAAATGGGGAGCAGCCGCATGGATCATGGACGTACGAGTGACGTCCACGACCATGCCAATGCGCCGCTCAGCAATCCCATTTTCCTGTGGAGAGGCCGGAAGCGTGAACGTCTGGTGGATGCCCCTCACACGGCAGAAACCTCGCAGAAGGTTAGAGGAGAACTCTCCACCTCTGTCGGAGTGCAGACGCAGAACAGGAAAGTCCCTGCCGAAACTCTCTCTGAGCTGGAGACGAGTAGCGCGGATCCAGTCGATCAACACCCAAGTGGCCTCACCTTTGGTGCGCAAGGGGAAGACTGCGGTGCAAGGCGAGTAGTCGTGAACCACCTAGAGGAATTAATGCTCGTGGCCCTGTCTACGGACGCGGGCTGGGCCCCACACGTCCATGTGAAGAGTCTGCAGGGGAGCCTCTGTCGGCGGAAACTGGGAGGAGTGAGGAGCGGCGCGCTGCCGCTCCTCGACGCAGGGAACGCAGGTAGGGGCAGGCCCCGGGGGAAGGGGAGGGAGGGACCGGGGGAGACCATAGACAAGGACACGGGAGGGCATGCCTCGAAGTCGAGGCAAGGAGGGGTGACCAAGGCGGTGGTGCCAGAGGAGAGTTTGGTGAGACAGGAGACGACACGAGCAGGGGGCAGACTCAGGACCAGACCTGGACGTTGCAGCAAACTCCTGACCTGACGCAGCTACCTAACCATACACAGTAACCGGAGGAGAGTCGGTAGTCAGTGTGTAGAGGCTCGACCCAAGCCTACGGGTAAACGTGGCCAAGTGTCGGCCCGTCCGAGCACACGTGCAGTGGGTCACAAGCTGACTCGCAGGAGTGAATTGGTCAACCCCCCCATCCTGCCGGTTAGCACCACTCACCAAGTTCGTGGAGAACGAGGGGAGGTAAAGATCTGATAGGGAGCTAGACGGGGCCGCCGGACCCGGTAGGACAGTGGATTAGTGGGCAAGGACAGGACCCCCAGAGGAGTCTGCCAAGGAGACCGCAACCGGCCGAATGAGCGGCGTGAGGGTGGTGCGGTCTTGAAAGAAGGAGCGAGAAGCACCCGAGTCAAGGGTGAAGGTGTGCAAAGCCTGACCAGACGTGGTACCTGAGAGAGCAGACTCACGAGCTCCTGGAGCACCAGACTCACTAATACCTGGAGCAGCGGACTCGTGAGCACCTAGAGCAGCAGCTGCAATGCCCGGGTCAGACGGAACACACAAGTAACAGTCACAAGTCCACAGGACGTAGGCACAGGGACCAGCACCTCCAGACCGGTGACGCGCAGCGTACCACTCACAAAGCTGTTGGGGCGGCGGGGTCTCACGAGAGCGCTGCTGCTGCTAATGCTGGCCACCACCGAAGCCTCCCCGCGGCACAAAGCCACCCCGACCAGCGCCACCGCCACCGCCGCCACCACCGCCTCCTCCACTCCCACCGCCACCGCCACCGCCACCAGAGCCCCCACCCCCGCCACCACTCCCACCGCCACCCCCACCCCCTCCACCGCCCCCATCGCCACCACCACCGCCCCCGCCCGCTCCCACAGCACCCTTGCCCACCTTGCCCTTGCCGTTGCGGCGCCTCCCGCTAGGGGCAGACGCAGCGCCGACCGACTCGGTGCCAACGAGGTCGACAGCAGCAGCAGAGGCAACAGTGGGCAAAAGGGGGACGGGGGAACACCCCTCAAAGAAAGGGGCACGAGGGTCACCACGAGAGACCCCTATAGCGACTATACTCTTCTCAGCTGCAAGGAGGCACTCCTCGAGGAGGTCAACGGTGAGTGTGGTGGGGCAAACAGAGAGGAAGTGGTCTCTGACCAAGCAAAGGGATTTAGGGAGTCGGGTGACTAGGTAGTAGAGGGTGATGTACATAGGGGGGGGGTTCTTGGTGCAAAACTCAGTAGGAAGCGCAGCGCGGTAGCGGGTGTCACTAGTGCGAAGATGCGTAATGAGGTCAGCGATTGTGGCAAAGGCGGCGAGGTCATGAGGCGAGTAAGGGCAGCAGTGGCAGGGGAGGAGTAGCGTGGTGCTACAGCGTCGTACTAGGTCTTGGCAGTCTTGTAATGGCTAAAGTGCGCGCGCTCAGTGGACGCCAGGTAGCTACGCACAGCAAGACGGGCAGCAGCATCGCGTGTGGTCCACTGTGAGCGAACAGTACTGTCAGCATCGGCAGCAGGGGCAGTAGAGGCGCCAGACGTGAGATCGAAGAGTGAGAGGTCGTGTTTGCTATTGCACTGCAGGAAAAGCTGCAGATCATCTATCCAGACCTCAAAGTTTACCGCTCGACCCTTAGCATCAAAGGTAAGAACGTTGGGACTAGCCATGACCGCAGTAGTAGCAGCAGAAGTAGGTTAGTAGTAGCATCAGCAAGAGGGGTGCGGCTCGGCGGTGCGCTTACTAGGGGCGGGTGGGTAGAAGCCCGCAAGTGGTGGGGCAGGGCAGAGGAGGGGCGCGACTCGGCTACAGGGTAGGGCCAGGACGGCGGTGGCGGCTGTCACGGCAGCGGCAGCGGTGGTTGTCTCAGCAGCAGCAGCGGCAGCTGTCACGACAGGAGCGGCGGCGGCTATCACGGCAGCAGCGGCGGCGACTGTCACGGCAGCAGCGGTGGCGGCGAACGGCCGTGGCTGAAGCGGCAGCGGTAGCAGGCGCGACGGCAGCTGCTGCTGGGGCGGCAACGACTGGGCGCCAGGGCCGCGAAGAGGCGCGGAGGGGCCGCAAATGGGCCGCAAAGAGCCGTGAAGGGGCCGTGAAGGGACGCGAAGGGCCGCGGAGAGGCCGCGAAGGGGACGCGAAGGGCCGCGAAGGGACGTGGAGAGGCCGCGAAGGGTCGAGAGGGGGGGCACGAAGGGCCGCGAAGGGGACGCGAAGGGCCGTGAGGGGGCCATGAAGGGCCGCGAAGTGGGGGCCGCGAAGGGCCTTAAGAGGGGCCGCTAAGGGGTCACGACAGGGGCCATGAAGGGGCCGCGAAGGGGGCCGCTAAGAGGGCCGCGAAGGGGCCACTAAGGGGCCGTTAAGGGGCAGGCCACTAAGGGGCCGCGAAATTTTAGGGCAGGACGCGAAGTGCGCTTCGGGCAGGCTAATTTTTTTTTTTTGAAGGTGGGCCCTTAGGAAGAAACGGTCCCACTAGGGAACCCGCTTTGATACCATGTGAAGAATGAGGAATGAGTTTACTAGGAAACATGTGGGTACAAGTAGGAAACCTAGAAGTGTTGTACCCTATAGTATCTACCCCACTACAGCCTAAATAGACTATAGCATATAAGTTTGACACCCTTCTCGACCTGCCTCTCCTTGACCGGTGAACAACGAAGGCGGCGTCGACGTGGGCGTCAACGTCGGTGGAGGTCAGGTCGGCAGCAGTGCGGGAGGCACGTCGAGGCAACAAGGCATACACGCCAGTGAAGTCGGCGGCGTTCAGGCGTGAGGGATGCAGTCGTCGACGGCTGCAGGCTCCTCGCAGGGCGACGCCGGTGGGCGTCGAAGCAGAATGTCGCCGATGTCAGCGTCTTAGGTGACGGCGGGCGGGATTGCACCGAGCTACGGCTACTTCAAGTTTGTGCCGGACAGGATCTTGGTCACCTCGCCGCTCGTTGGTCGACATGACATTCTCACCTGGAAGGAAGCCATCGAGCCCCAGCTGGAGATGGCCGGGCTGATCGGCTTCGCCCGAGGAACCGTGGCGACGCCGAAGGAGCACCACGCCGACTTGCATGCGGAGTTTCGCGCCATGCAACTGTTGAACTTTATGGTTATTTCGCGGTGCTGCTCGCTGGGCGTGCAGATCGCCCTGAAGTGCTGCGGGGAGTATCTCAACGCCGGCCACCAGGCGTGGCACTTCATCGAGTCGACCTACCAAGTCACCGGCGACTTGTTCATCGCCCAGCTGGAGGGCCAGCTGACGCACCTGCGTATGGGCGACGAGGAGACGGCGACCGACTACTGCAACTGGGCCCGGCGTATTCTCGCCACCATCAAGATGGCCGGCGCGTAGCACTCGACGGCGTCGTACGTCACCCGCGTCATGCAGGGACTCTCTAGCAACTACAACCTCTTGAAGCGGCTGTCGATGGCGCCGAGCATGAGGACGACGCTCAACGAGGACAACTTGACCCCGTACATCCTGCAGGACGAGGAGATGCAGGAGGCAGAGCGGTCCCAGGAGCTCTTGGCGCAGGCGAACTTCGTCGCCCCGGGGAGGCAAGGAGGTTGACCGAGGCAGCGCGGACAGTCCGATGGCAGTGGTAGCAGTGGCTGGAAGCCGGCCAAGGAGGTCGACAAGAAGAAGTCGACCAAGGACGGCAGTCGAGGAGGAGGAGGTCGATGTCGAGAGTGCTGGCTGTGTGACGACCCCGTGAGAAGAAGTGAACGAGAATGGAATGACTATGAACGAAGTGAGTACAAATAGGAAACCCTAATTGGGTTGTACCCCCTATGGGATACCCCACTATAGCCTACACAAAAAAGTAAGCTATAATGTTCTGACACACCCCCATAGGCAAAGTGGGGGAGAACAAGGGGTCACAAGACCAGTCAAGTAAAGCAAAGCAAAGCTCAGGGTGGATCACAAAGTCACCACACAGTCCGAGCACAAGTTCAAGGGCCAGAAGGCCAGTTCACGAGCAAGATCATATATAGAGATATACAAGAGTCAAGCAAGCAAGAGCAAGAGTATATATAGGTGAAGGTACAAGCAAGGTCAAGAAGTGAGCAAGTGAGGCAAGACAGGCACAAGACCCAGCTGCGTGCAACAACGCTGATGATCACAAGGCGCAAGTGCCTTGGTGAAGACATCAGCAGTGTTGACCTCAGAGGCCACGTACGCAAGTCGCAACTGTCCACGCTGCTGTAGCTCACGAGCAAGAAAGTAGCGGAGAGCAATGTGCTTTGTCCTGTGCTCCAGTCGCTGCTCTCCACACAAGGCCAGCATGGCCTTGTTGTCTACGTACAGGACTAGAGGACAACGAGGCGGCTCTCCAAGGTCGTTCAGCAGGTAGGTGAGCCAGCGTAGCTCCTGTGCAGCCATAGCCCCGGCGTAGATCTCAGCCTCACATCTGGAGCCGAGAACAGAAGACGAGCGGGTAGCCCGCCACGAGACAGAGCCGGAACCAAGGCTGAAGGTGTAACCCTGTGACGACCGCTGCGTAGCCTGGTCGTCAGCCCAAGAAGCGTCCGCGTGTCCATTGAGGACCACTGGACTGCGCCCTCCAAGCACTAGCCCCATGCCCGACGTACTGCACAAGTAGCGCAACACCCTCTTCGCTGCAGCCATGTGCTCTGGTCGGTGTCTCCCAGGAGCAACATAGCGTGCGAGAATGCTAAGAGGGTATGCAAGGTCAGGTCGAGTGCAGGTCATCAGGTACATGAGGCAGCCAACAAGCTCTGCATACGGGCCACTCGACTCTACGGACTCATCCGAAGGCAGAGCTGAGAGCGAGTGGCGAGTAGGCAGAGGAGTGGCCTGAGGCGAGGAGTACGTGAAGCCGAAGCGCTGAAGGACCTGCTGCACCATGTGTGACTGAGACAGGGTAATGGTGCGGCGTGCTCTGTCCCGGGTGATCTGCAAGCCAAGGTAGCTGCGTAGTTCACCCAGGTCAGTGCACGTGTGTCTCTTCTGCAGCTCGGACTTCACGTAGGCGAGTCCAGCAGTGTCAGCTGTGGCAAAGACCAAGTCGTCGACGTACACGAGGATGTAGAACGGCGGCAGAGATGTGTCGGTGCGCAGAAACAGCGACGGGTCGGCAGTAGAAGGAGCAAACCCAAGAGCCGCAAGCGTAGTCCTCAGTGTGTCGTGCCACTCACGTGGCGCCTGGCGGAGACCGTAGACTGGACGCCGGAGACTCCACTGGGTACCAGGAGGGAAAGACCCAGTGAAGCCAGGTGGGCGACGCAGCCAGATCTCCTCGTGCGGACTGCCCTGCAAGAAAGCTGTGCTGAACTCGAGAGAGTGCAGCTCGTAGTCACGGTGAGCAGCAACGTGCAGCAGTACCCGAAGAGTGGTCATCTTCGGGGTGGGGGAGAAGGTCTGAAAGTAGTCAACCCCCTGCCGCTGACTGAAGCCACAAGCCACGTCACGTGCCTTGAAGACACGCGGAGAACCCGGCGGCCGCTTCACCCTGAAGATCCACATGCCACTGACTATGTTCGCCCCAGGAGGGGGAACAGCGTCAACGTAGGTGCTTGTGGACTTCCAGGAAGCCATCTCTGCATCCATAGCTGCCTGCCACTTAGAGGAGTAGGGACCCTCTATCGCCTCCGCGTAAGAGCGCGGAGTCGGGATGTCTAGTGCATCCGGGTCTCCCTCAGGGGCTAGCAGTACAGACGCGAGATGAGGTGAAGCGGCGGCCAGACACTCGAACTCCTCCTGCCTGTCCTCAAGGACGTCCGTGCCAAGGGCACACTCACCCCCGACGGACGGAGGACAGGCAGACTCAGACTCAGCGACAAGACTAGCAGCGTATTCTAGACGACAGCGCGCAGCAAAGTCGACGAGCTCAGTGACAAGGGCAGACGCAGAAGACGACTCAAGAGAAGGGTCAGTGACAGCAGTAGCAAGGAGACGCGTGACAGTAGGACTGGCAGCACGAAGAGAGTCCGACTCCGGGTCGGCAAGAGCAGGAAGAGAGGAAGCAGGAGGAGAAGGCAAAGGGGCACGCAGAGGAGCAGTGGACGGACGCAAAGACATCCGGTGCGTGCGAGGGACAGGAGGAGGACGCTGACGCGAACCGCGACCACTAGTGCGCGCAGTACGAACAGGCGACGCAGGACGAGACGCAGGCTCACGACGCTCAGTAAGACCTCCAGTCGGACCAGCGTAGGGAGAAGGAGCAGGCAAAGGGGAGGCAGGCTGTAGCTGTGACTGTGACGGGACAGGCTGTGGACCCTCTAAGGGAGGAGGAGGAGGACCAGGAGAAGGTGTAAGACCAAGAACCTGCTGCAGGAGCGGAACGAAGTACGGTCGGGGCCACGTGGCGACGCCAGAAACAGCAGGGACAGCACCAGTACCCCAAGCAGGAGTACCCGCTCCAGCAGCACCTCCAGCAGCACCTCCAGTAGCACTGCCAGTCGGACCGCCAACGGTAGTCTCAGCGCCAACACCCTCAGCAGCACCAGCTCCAGGAGAACCCTCAGACCTAGCAGCTCCAGCACCCACAGCAAGAGCACCTCCGGGACGCGCGGCAGCAGCACCCTCTGCAGCCGAAGAACCTCTAGTACCAGCAGCACGCCTCCAACGCCGGGCAAACCACCCACGAATCTCCTGTGGGGAGAGTGGCTCTCGGCGAGACGAAGCACCTCCAGGCGGAGCACCCCCAGTCTCAGCACCCCC